CAAGTGGAGCTTTTTTGTGATCAGCTTTGTGAGGATGTGGACTTGCTTGCTCAGGGTGCGAAGGCTTTTAAGAACTGTGATGCCAGTGGTGGCAGTCTTGTCAGTGATGCTTGCATCCATCCATCCTTCGTGAGGTTGTGGCGGCATTTTACTCGTCTTTGCCTCAAGTGTCGGCAAGCCATCCTTGCTCACTCTTTAGTTTCAGCTTGGTTCTTAGCCCTTTTATCCACCTCTTTTTTTCGCTTCTCTTTGTTTGAGGAAGTTGTTGTACAGTAACTTTGATGGTGGTTACATCATGCTGTCCGATTTCCAAACTTTTGGCTACTCACGGGTTCTGTTCCTCATGCTTGTAAGCAGTTCAGTAGGGCTAAAAACCAACAGCCTACCCTGCTGTTGGTCAGGGTAGGCTCTTGGGGTGATAGATTTTCAGACTGTTGTTCTTCCAGCAGGGGATTCTTCCTCCTCTTATCAGCATCACTCTTGAGTCACAGGAGGATGGCAATTCTTGTGGTTGGCATCAACCCTTTCGTGGTTCGCCCCATTGATGACACTGTGCATAGTCTTGCTCTCTTTGCCAACTCAAGGTCCAACGATATGTAGGTGTTTCGGGTTGTTTCCCTTGGCTTGCAGTGGAGTTGGTCAATTCTTCCCCTGCTTTTGGGGTTGGTGTTAATGGGTCAGCTTTTTTCCGCACAGCTGCATCAGGTCATATGGATGTGGTTGAATATGGATGTGATTGAGCCTATCTCATCTTTTTTGTTGGGTGTTACATTTGTTCTGGTCCCCTAGAGGGACTTCTTGGACCTGTGATTCATCTTCAGTCTTTCGATTCTAAACAGTTTCATTCTCTGTCTGACTTTCTTAATGATCGCTATAACCAAAGTCTGCTTGGTTTTCCAACTGGAAGCTTGGATGATGTCCTTTGGATTTCCAGAATGTGTACTGGTATATTCCTATGCATCTGTTAGGTTTTGTGGTGGAGCATTGTGCTTACCGCTTTCAGGTTCTACCCTTCAGTTTAATCTGGTTTCCTGTATTTTCACCAGGTTAGCATGAGTCATTGTGGCTTGAGTATGTCTCTTAAGGGGTTCAAGTTGACGACTGGCTGGTTAAGGCTCCCAGCCAATCTGCGTGTCTTGGACTGCGTGTCTGGGAAAAGCCCCTGGTGACTCAGTGGTTGGTCAAGCGGCCATAAGAAAGGCTGAATTTTGAATGCATGGTCTACTTATTGAGCAGAGCTTAGCTCAGGGCTCTGTACTGGTTCCTCTGGTTCTTCTCATTTTCCTGCTGCTGCCACTGTTGTGTTTGGGCACTGGCTGCCTTTTGCTGGTTGTTTCTTCCCCACCTTCCTCTTCAGGCTTTTCGAGTTTCGATACCATGGCTCCTTCCAGTTCTGTCACTCAATGTATTTACAGGCACTTCAGCTCTAGGTTTTAGTTTTGTGACCAGCGCACGCACGGCTTCCCCATGGTCTGAGTTGTCGGGTCTATTACTTCGGGCACATGGTACAATTTACAAGTTCACAGCTGTTTACTAAGCATTATGGAGGACTTCGCTCCCTCCAAGTTCCATAATCTAGATCCATTCTGACTGCTTCCCTGTTGTTCATTGTCTGAACCGTGGGGGGGGGGGTCTTCAGGTCTATCCTCTATGGTGGTCTTGAGGTCTATCCTCTGTGGTGGTGGACACTGCTGGTTGCTCATCTTTTGGACTCTTGGGGTTTATCTCTCTGTGCATTCCATGTGCAGGGTGTCTGTAATGTTCTCATGGACAGTTTGTCTCGTTTCCATCCAGTCTCCTTGGAATAAACTGTCGACAATATGTCCCTTTCCAGTGACTCTGCGAAACGTTCAGTCATTGTGAGGTGGATCTCTTCGCACTGCCGTAGAACCGACATCTCCCATCCTATGTGGCTCCATTTTTCAATAGTGAGGCTGTCGTGGAGGATGCTTATGAGTTGGAGTGGTTGAAGTGGGGTTGCATTTACCTCTTTTCCCGTGGTTTAGTCGATCTCTGGGTTATTTCCAGAATGAAGTTGTTCCTAGGGAGGGGGATCTTTCGGGCTTCTTGGTGTTCAGCTTTTTCAGAGGATCAGTCCTTGCTGGTTTGACCTCCTCCTACATCTCTTCGATGCTAAACTTTCTGATACAGGTACATATCACCATTTTTATGGCTCACAGGCGGCTGGGTTATTGGTTCCCACCTGCATTTGTCTTCCACGGGGCAGCTTGAAGTAGCTTGATGCTCGTCTTTGCTGTTTGTCCCCTAGATGTCTTTCTTCAGTTTCAGTTTGTGTGGTATTGTCTTTAGATGTCAAGAACAAAGAATCAAGCTCAGGGAGCAAAAGAGCTGGAAAAAACATAGATGTTTTCTTTTGTGAACCGTTCTAGGTGTTTGAAACAATTAAAGTGAGGTGGTTGTGGATGTCAAAACCAGCAGCAGTTCCAAAGCATTATATGACAAAGGTTATAAATAAAACAGGGCAACATAAGCATAGCTCTGATCCTGTAACTATACATTGTAGTTACCATAGACGAAGAAAAATACTTTACTTACTGATTGGATATGCATAGAGGAGGATTAGCAATTGTTTAGTTAGTGAGTAAGAAACAAAAATGAAGAGTGAATAGATCTGGTTTAACAAAGCTCCTCACTTCAATTTAATTTCTTTAATTTCATGTGTGTGTGGATTCAGTTTTTATTAGGAATTGTTTAATACTGTTGTGAAGGTTCTTATGGAATGTAAATTTGCAAGGTTATCAATATGCAGATGCACCTCAGTGTAGTTAGAACCAAGAGTTGTACAGAGACGATAAGTGATGAACTGCAACTGCAATAAAAGTACATTATAGAGGTTGACTGAGAAGCAGTTTAGTATTTTACTCATTATCTCAGTCTTTGGTGATGAAAATGGATACAGAATATAGATAGCATTGTAGAATTTACGCTGTTAAAATGCAGTATTATAAACAGCAAATATTATGAGCAGTTACGGCTGTGTTGAGTCAGAGTGAGTAGCAAGGTCAATGGAAGTCATTTTTACATGTGGAAATAATCATAGATTTCATGGAAGAGGTGCAGGAGGTTAAAGGATCATGAAAAAGGTTAGAGCAACAAGTTTATCAGGTGTTAGTCAAGGATATCCCATGGTGTAGTGGTAAGTGGATATCCCCGTGGTGTAGTGGTAAGAGCAGTCCCCGTGGTGTAGTGGTAAGACACTCGCCTGGCGTTCCGCGAGCGCTATGTCGTGGGTTCGTATCCTGGCCGGGGAGGATTTACTGGGCGCAATTCCTTAACTGTAGCCTCTGTTTAACGCAACAGTAAAATGTGTACTTGGATGAAAAAACGATTCTTCGCGGCAGGGGATCGTATTCCAGGGACCATAGGATTAAGGACTTGCCCGAAACGCTACGCGTACTAGTGGCTGTACAAGAATGTAACAACTCTTGTATATATCAAAAAAAAAAAAAAAAAAAAAAAAAAAAAAACATTAGGATGCTTTCACAGATATGAGTTGTCATACACAAAGACTAAGGAGTGTTGACTAGTGGGTATTAGCAATATAAGAGGTAGAATAGCATTTTAGAGTTCATGAGTACTGTACTGTTTCATGAATTAAACAGCGCAGATGTTAGTGGGAAAAGTAGTGTTAGTAAGGTTCGTAAAAGAAAAATATTTGATGTGAAGATCATGAGGAAAAAATAATGAACAATTAAAATTTGTGGGAATCTTAATAAAGTCTTTTAAGAAATGCAGTCAGATAAGAGTGTGGGAAGACAGATTTTCAATGTCTACTTTGTTGCTATTCATAGATTATTCATTTGTGATACTAACAAAAAGTACATGAATAACTTTTTTTTTAATGAAAAATTGTATGAGACTCTGAAGCATGATTGTGAAGACAAATTAAGGGTGTGTGTGTATAGTAATGTTGTTCAATGACAGTTTGATGAATGAAGTTTTCAGGATGTGACAACTATGTGAGGCAAATCACATAGCTTACCACTAAATGTTTATTTACTGAGCTATCTCAGAGGGCTGTTAAATAATTCCTGCGAGGAAATATGTGTGAATTGGTTTTGTCAAATTGAAAGCTTTTGAAGTAAGTGCTTTTTGCCATCATTGAAATTGGTGATACTGGCTTACCGATTTCTTATGTTGAAGAAATCATCGTTTACCATCAAAATCATTTTTTGTTAATCTGTTAATTACATAAACTGTAAATGTTTTTTGTGTTCTAACATCCACTATTTTCGATATGCTAACCATGGTGTACCTTCTTGTGTGGGGCTTTGTACAGCTAGTAACTAATCGTGCATTTCTAACCTTTCTTGCACGCTTCATGTAACAGAAAACTCTCGTGGAAGACGTGAGTATTACGTATTGTGGCCTGTGTGTAGATTTCTCATGTCTTATATTCACAATAGAAAAGTTGTATACTAATATTCTTGTAATATATTTCTTGGGTGTATTTTGTGTTCTTAGGTTCTAAGTAGAATTTGTTTGCATTTATTTTACAGCTTTTTCTCAGTCCTTTTACTTTATAGTGAGATGTCTTTTATTTCAGGCATTCTACTACTGTATTGTATTTGTAAATAATGTTAATATTTGAACAGATATTGAAATTGCTATATGTACTGTACAGTACAATAGTCTACTGATCTTGATATATGATGTATAATTTGAGAGTATATCTGTAATTCTAATCTTAATACATATTGATGTTTTTATGATAAATAGCTTATACAGTATACTGTACTAAACTTGGTACAATTTCTTTTAAATATTTATTTGAAAGTAATTTTTCTCTACTTTTATTTTGTTGCATTACTGTATATGATAGCCATAAAAATATATAATTTGTTTTAAATAATGTTTATATACAGTTACTTAAAAAAAATTCCTAAAAATTTAGAAAGTATGGTTGAACATGTACTTGATATAGTGCAAACATTTTTATCCTTAGAATGAATATATTTGACATTAAATGCATATGGCAGATTCCTGGTGAGCTTCATGGTCGATGCTCGAGGTGGGGCAATGCGTGGCTGCAGGCATTCGGGCGTTCGTGTCATCATTCCACCCCGAAAGGCTGCTATGCCCATGAGAGTCACTTGCCGCTACCTGAAGAAGGATAAACTGGTCCATGCTCCACCTCTTATGGAGGGTGAGGCTCTGGCTTCGAGGATCCTTGAAATGGGCCCTGCTGGTGCCAAGTTCCTAGGGTGAGCTTTAAAGTTGTTTTAATTTTAATACTGTACAGGAAATATTGAATTCGATAAGCTAGTGGATATTTATTTCAATAATCGGTGTTGTCCTGTGTCCCACTTTCACAATGTGGAGAGACATTTCTCTTCAGAAATTATCAATTTTGGGTTGAAGAGAACATAAGGTGCTGAGAGTTGTAAAGTTTACCCTCATCTTGATAGTCCTCTGCAACAAGCACTGGTCAGTAACTCTCGCTGGCTTGCTACTTCACATTTTGGCACACAAATGCATAAACATCAAATTACATTTCTATAAATTACTAGACTGCTAGTTTTGTTATTAGTGTCTTTGAATATTTACAATAAATTTTAAATATTTGTAAGATTTGCTAAGTATATGAACAAATTTATGTTTTGTGGAGGAGGTGACACAATGCATCAATGTTCCTGTTGGACATGGTCACCTTCTCAATGTTGTTGGCATTTAAAACATGGCTGTCTATTTGGATTGCCAGCTTTAATTCTAAAACATTATAAATGCAATTTCTTTAACGCATTCAGAAATTGTGTATAGCATTGGCAATTAAAATACTATGAAGTACTATTTTATAGTGAGTTTATTAATGTAAATAGCACTGTACGATGTCTTCATGTTAAAAAAAAAATTGTATGTTAACATTTTACTGACAAAACATAAGGCCAAGGTGGAGGCCTGCTGTGTGTGTATGTGCTCCCAATTGACCCACTTCTCACTGAATATAATAAACTGAGGCCAAATAAATTTGGCAATGTTTTGGTTTTCTTTGGCAAGTTCAGCCAAACATATTTTAGCCAATTTAAAGTCAAGTGTTTAAGTGTGAAAAACAAACTATTTATTAACTTTTCATCCCTTTCAAACAGCCCTGTGATTATTGAGGTACCACACTTTGCTTCCCTGCGAGGTAAAGAACGAGAGATAGTGATCCTTCGCTCTGATAATGGAGAAACTTGGCGAGAACATACACTTGAGGCAACAGAGGAAGCTGTACAAGAGGTTCTCAATGAGAGCTTTGATGGAGAGGGTATGTTTTATTTTAGCATTTGTACTAAATTTCAAAATATGGAAAGTATAGTCTCTATACTTTAGTATAGTCTAGTCTTATTTAGTATAAGTAGTGTTGCTATACCGTATATGTTTATGGACTTGGAAAAAGTATGTGAAATAATAGAGAAGATTTGGTAAATGTTGAGACATGTTTACATAGGAATTAGTACTTGTGCAAGAGTTAATGGTGTAATGAATGACTGGTTTAATATTAATGTAGATGTATGCCAGGATTGTATGATGACATCTTTTGTATTCAATATATTCATGTAGTGGGTCATAAGACAGATGAAGGTAAGAATATTATAGAGGGCAGGGAAGGGGGGTGTAATCCTAGTGTTAGACTACTATGAGTAATTGAAGTATGTCAAAAATTGATGTTAATGAATGATACAGTTCTTTTAACAGAGTGAAAGTGTGGACTATTTTTCCAATTTATTAAGGTATGTGTGTGAGAAAATTGTTACAAGTGAATTTGGACAAGGTAAAGTTATGGTAATAGTGAACAGAAATTGTGTAAAATGTGCATGGTGACGTGCAGAAATGGTTGATCAATTTAAATACCTGGGATGTATTGATGAATGAAGAATTTATGCAGTTAAAGTTAAAAGGAGTGTGAAATTAGGAAAGGAAAGTGGCTTGTGCTATTAAAGCCCCAGCAAAGAAAGCAAGATATAAATAATTGTATCCAGTGGTCTGCGTGAAGGAGGTGTAGTTCCAATGATTTTTCACTTGCAAGATGGTGGTATGATATGAACATGAATATACAAAATTACATCAGTAGAAATGAATGACTGGAGAAGCATGTGTAGTGTTACGAGGAGGAATGATTTGGCTTAGAATTGTAAAATGCTAAATTAACAGTAAAATAAACGACAGTGTCACGAGATGTTTTTGGCATATTAAATGAATGGATGATGGTGATAGGCTGGTTAAGGGAGTGAAATATAATTTGGTTCATATTAATTTGAAGTATAATTTGGCTGGTTAAGAGAGTAAAATAAAATTTTGGTAATATAATTTGTGTGATATTTTGGGGGGGAGAAGGTGGGTTGGTATGTACTGAAAATACGTTTGTGAGAAACACTGTTTACTTGGTCTTGAAGCGGTGGGGTGCTGCTGTGAATGATTACTGGTGTGTGGTGGTGGTATTTTATCTGCTACCTAGTGTGTTGTGTTGTGTGAATGATATGTTGAATGGATGAGATAATTTACATTTTTTTTTATTACACATAGCCTTTGTTTAGTATACTTTTCTGAGGGAAACCCCCCAGTCACTCCCTGAAGCTATCTTGCTGAGATCGCTCCATTCTAAAAGGTCATATCTATCTTGAAAGTTCTGATTGGCCTACTGTGGACCAGAACAAAAACCTAGCCACCTCCTCACAGGTGCAGAGAGTGAGTAGCAATTTGCACCCCACCGGGAAAGCATCCAGAAAGTCGGCAACGCTTGACAAACAACCGGAGGGTTCACAGAAAACGAAGATTTGAAATGACCAAACTTCTCCACAAATTATTCACATGAAACAAGAGATTTACTCAAACTAGCTCAAAACACATTAGTACCACTAGCCACCACCAAGTGGTTTTGCCCCAGCCCCAAGCTAGCTTCTTAAGTTCTCTAACCAGCCAGTTCTGTTGCTGATGTTATGGTGGAAGATTCTACCTGTAGTGCTCAGGTTTGTCAGTCGTAGACAACCCGCTGTTTGAGCTAAGTGCTGACCATTCTTGGACGTCTTGTCCTGCAGGCACCATTTGATGTGCTCTTCGTATATTTTAGTATAGCATCACTGGATCATTTAGTATAGCTTCACTTGGCTTCTCCGGTGATCTGGTTCTTTCCCAGTTCACCAGGTTTGGGTTCCTGGTGAGCTGGAGGAGGTCCTAATTGATTCTGTCTCAAGTTCGGCCTTAGCAGGGGCCAGATTCACGAAAGCACTTACGAACCTGTACATCTTTTCTCAATCTTTGGCGGCTTTGTTTACAATTATTAAACAGTTAATGAGCTCCGAAGCACCAGGAGGTTGTTTATAACAATAACAACAGTTAAATGGTACGTTATCATGCTTGTAAAGTGTTTAATAAATGTAACCAAAGCCGTCAAAGATTGAGGAAAGATGTAAACGTTCGTAAGTCCTTTCGTGAATCTGGCCCCTGGTCTTAGTAATGGACTTGGTTGGCTTCTCCCTGCTTCCAGCACCATTGCTCTGCCTGCAGCTGCGTCGCCGTCAGGTGTATGATTGGCCTCGGGGGACTTAAAGGTTGGTCAAGTGGTTGTATAGGAGCCTGAATTTTGTCTGCATGGTTTTACCACTGGGCAGGGTTTGGCTCCATGTATTGTATTCAATTTTCTGGTTTCACCTGTTTTGCTGCTCCCGTTCCCAGTGGGTTTAGGCCCTGCCCATCCTTCATCAGTTCTTGCTTTACTGGCTTCTCCTTTGGGTATTCAGGGTTCAATTCCATGATGTCATCCTCTCCTATTGCTGACTGCATCAGCTCTGGGTTTGGGTTTCATGACCAGTGCTCATGGTTGGATCTGTTTCCTTTGGTATCTGTAAACTGAGTTTGTGGCTGTGTGGCATGCCCTGTGGAGGATTTTGCTCGAGCCAGAGCACCAGGCTCTGTGCTCTGGCTCCACCCTGGTGTTTCATTGCCTGAACTGGGGGGGGGGGGAGGTTGCTTCAGTCCATCACCCTATGATGCTGGATGCTTTGGGTAGCTCAGCTTCTGGATCCTGGGGTGTGGGTCTCTGCATGGTTCATTTGCGGGGTGTGTCCAACATTACTGACATCTTCATGTCAGCATGAAGCCAATACCTTCCTTCTTACTTTGCTCTGTTCCCTAATAGCAAAACTCTTGCAGTGGAAGCATTATGACTGAACTGGTTAAGGTGGAGGTGCATTTGCCATTTTCCGCCAATTGAGTTGTTGGTCCAAGTTCAGTACAGTCTGGAACAGTATTGGGAGGGTGATTCATGTGGTTCCTTGTTGGCTGGCTCAGTCTTGATTTCCAGTGCTTTTCACCAGGTGTCTGAATCCGTGCATTTTCCCTGGAGCTTGCCTCTTTCAGCAGATCAGCCTGATTTTGTATTTCACTGGTTTGACCTCCTCTGCTTTATGCATATCAAGTTTTTTATGCAGATATTTTTGCCATTTGTATTGTGAGCAGGTGGCTGGTTTGTTGTGTACCACCTGCATCATTCCTCATGGCAGCAGTGTAATGTTGCCTGGTGATTGTTTCACTACTCTCTTTCTCTTTGTTGTCTTTTTAAAGTTATGGTCAGGTTTGTCCTGTCCTTTTGTCTTCATTGTTTCTTAATTAGCTTCTCATGCATAATACTGTCAGTTTTTATCATGCGGCATTGGAGTGGCCACTGATGCATGTGTTTGGTGCTGACACCTCTGTGATGTCTTCCCAGAAGTTGTGGAATGCATTTTTTCTCCTACTGTTGGCTCCTGCTCTTCATCCAGGTCTCTTGACTGGGGTTTTGGTCTTTCTATACTCCTCATTTATGGTGCCCCTTTTGGCATGTGATATCCTTCTCAAGGGTGTGGTTTTGTTGGCTTGCCTCCAGCTGTACGGTTGGGGAGCTTTAGACTCTTCTCCAGATGCTGGGGTTCTGTTGTTTTGGCCTTGGTGACTGGTTTACTCATTGACAGCCTTCTCCTTCCTTTCTGGTGAAGGATAAGTCAGCTGGCTTCTGAAGGGATCCTTTGGTGGTGGATGTTTGGTGGGTTAGGCCTGGGATGAATCTTTTGTTGTGCTCAGTGGTGGATCTTAACTACTACATTGGGTCACCAGTTTTACCTCAGTGGACATTCTGATGTTGACCCTGTTATCTTAGTTCCCTGTTCCAAGGCTTGCATTTCTCAGGATGTTTGTAGTACCATTAAGTCCAACCAGCCTGCGATCTACTCTGAGATCCATGAAGTTTGCAGATACGGTGCATTGTCTGCTGTCTTCTCCAACATGTCATGGGCTGATATTCGGGCGCGCATGGGTTTTGGCAATATAACAGTATTGGCAGCTAGGTATTTGGCTCATGTTCCTGGTCCCTCTCAGTCTTGTGTTGCTTTGGAATGTTTTCCCCTAACCTGCACTCTCTTCTTTGCCTTAGTGCCCGCTGTCTCTCCTCTTCCTCCCTGGTAAGTCCCTTTCTCAGTTTCTGCAGTTAGCTTCAAGTGGCTCCCTCAGAAATCCAACATTGAATGTGATGAAATGCCTCTTTTTGGTAGAGCCCTGGTGTGTGTCTGATTCCTACTGTTCCCTACAAGTTTATTGGTGGGCTGTTCATCAGCTCCAAAACTGTCTGGTCACTAGAGCGGACTGGGGCTCGGCTGCCTGGTGATGGCTCAAAGTACTAATGATTTTAAAGCTAGTTCAGGTAAATCACTTGTTCGTTGTGAATCATTTGCAGAGTTGTTTGGTGGTTTTGAGGCTTCATTTTCTATGAACCCTCCAGTTGTGTGTGTAAAGTTTTGCTGACTTTCTAGATGCTTTTCAGGTGAGTGGGATGGTGAATTGTCACTTTCTCTCTTTGCTTCTATCAAAGAAGCAAAAAAAACCTGGGGGCCAGGTTCTGGCTCTGGTCTCCAGTAGACTAAACACAACTGTTACAACTGATGTGACCTTTTAGTATGGAGCAGTCTTGGAAGATAGCTTAAAGTTGCCACCAGAGTTTTGCTAGAAACAGGTATTGCGTTACATTCAAAGTTGGATATTTCTTCGTACTGATGCTTCTGTATCCCACGTTATTCATAAATGTTAAATGTAGGGTATTTTTTAAAGACAAATATTTATCCCAGTAAATTTTATGGCCAACTATTTTTTATTGGTTTGTGGAGAAAAAAATTCAAATCTTCGTCCAACCTATTGCAGCAACTAAGATTTACATGTTTCTTAAAGAGAAGTAAAATGCATTGTGGCAATTTGATGTTCTGAGTTATACTCATAAGCTGCTTGCATATTAATCTACAGAAAAATAATTGCAAACTATACATTAAGTGTGGTTATGTTTTTATTTACAGAGTTAAAGCAACTGGAGGACTTGAACACCAACCGCATCACACGCATTTTGACCACCGACTTCCCTCAATACTTTGCAATTGTAACACGCATAAGGCAGGAGGTATGTAATAGTAATTTTTGTGTAAGTCATGCTTCTTATCTGCAAAGGATGATATGGAACTACAGTTTGTGTTTGTCAGATATGAGAATGAGGAAAAGTAGTGGAGCCGGTACATTACCCTTGGGTACTGAGTTTTTTTCTTAGCAGGATTGATACTTTATTTTCTTGACTGTTAATATTTCGGTTTTGTTTGTTAGGGATTAATGATCCATCTTCCAATTCCAGTTATAATTTTTGTATTTATTTCATGCTATTACAAGATGGTCATATTTGTCAAAAACTTTGCTAAGTATGTGTATGATATTGGTGGCATCTTTCTTTTCCTCCATGTCATCCAAGCCCTTATTGTTGTTGTCTAACATTTGTGAGAAGCAGGAGCAGGTTACACAAAACCTGTGTTGGCCAGGATTAACCCTTAAACTGCGCAAAACGTCATATGATGTGTGACATTAAAGCGGGGGTATAATTTGAAAAATAATCTAATTATGTAAAATTTACTTAAAAATGTTAAACAAATCTCCAACTTATTGGCTTCAGCTTTGTGAAATTTTCATCAAAATATTTTCATAAATTGATTTTCGACGAATATATTAAAAAAAAAAAGTTTTGTTGATAAGGAGAACAGCTCCTATTAACTGGAACTGATGGATAATGCAGTAATAGAGATGCAAGCACCTGTCCGACACACAAAAAAGAATAATAATAGTAAGAAGTGTCCAGAAAGTGGATATACAGCTGGCGCTTTTTATACCCCTGATGAGTAATACATAACAACTCAAATAATAATGAATAATTATGTTATTATGATCTATTTTGTTATATATCATATAAATACATTGCCCATTGTTTTTATCAGTTTCTTTCAACAATGTCCAAAAAATATTTTTTTTAGGGGATTTTTTTGTAGGTTTTTATTTTTTTCTCTTATCTCTGTTTATTATTTGAATTTGTTTTAACTTTTACATCCTGCAAAATGCATACTCGTCCCTAACTATGTGAAGCCAGAATTAAATTAGTCAACAAATAAAAATCAGTTACAACTCAAAGAACTTGGGACTTTGATTTTTTTTTGGCTGATTTTTTCACAGATTTTAAACTCTATTTTCCTTGTTTCTTTAGGTTGTTTTGATGATTAGAGACCAGATTAGGGCATTTTTACTTATATAAAGTATACCCTAAATATATTCCTTAATTCATTATAATTATTATAAATATCCCTATATTTTGTTTTTTGGGGATTATTTTTTCTTGACTTCATTTCTACACACATTGACCTACAACTTTCACATACTTGAGTATGAATGCCAAACAATGTTTATTACAACATAAAGTAAATTCATGAATTAGAACTGCCTTATTCATTGTCGATAACTTCAACTTCAATTACATCTATAACAAGAATTTCAACTTGCTTCAGTATCCAAAAATCTTGTTTCTGACCGATTCTCACCATTTTTACATATAGTGTGCACAGCTGTCTGTTTTACAATCCCTATAGAATTGATTTTTCATAAATTCTAAACATTTGTAATTATAAATTTTTGTTGTCTAAATTTGCGCATATTTCAAATGCCATATTGACAAATTTTTTTTACAGTAAACTATACTGAAAACTTATATTCTATATATATGAAAATGAAGATCATATGCTATTCTGAGAGAATAATAACACCAAATGAACAGTTGGTGATATTTTTATATTTTTGCAGCTGGTTTCAAAATCTGATGTTTTCAATATTCAATTTTATAGTTATTTTTTATTTTCTTGTTTTTCAAGTTACACTGGTATCATTTAGACAAAGTTGGAGCATTTGCCTTGTAGATTATTCACAAAACATTTGAAAGAGTTTCAGAAAATTTATAAAACTGAGTTCAATCTCAGACATCATTTGAGGTTTTGCACAGTTTAAGGGGTTAAGTAATCAATGTGACACTGTGTTTCGAAGTTTCACTTTTTAGTAATGAAGATTTTTATAATGTGTAATGTTAGTTCAATCAGTCTATATATTTTTTCATTGGCTTTGCTACCTGTTTATGAAGTGGCATGATAAATTGCTGTTTTTGGTATGTTAGTGAAGTAACTAGTATCGAGGCTGTCTAGATAGGAAGTTAAGAGCTTGTGATAGTGGTCTTTTGAAATTCTTGATAAATACAAATTTCAGTAGTCTTACCTTTGGGGACATTACAAGAGCATCCAATCTATGGCTGCTATAATGTCCATCAGGGTTCGAGTGACATTCAGAGATGCCCATTGAGGTTGGTGTCACATTCATGAAGAATTCAGATGGGTTGCCAATCTTTCTTGCATTTAGAGGTTCATTGAAAACCGTCATACTATTTCCTTAGGATTTTACTTGTTTTTTGTCCTCTGTGACTGTTCCATCTCCCTTATGGAAGGGCCCAGTACTGGAAGTGGGGTTTTTGTTTTGTTGTGTTTCGTAAATTAACAATTTATCTTTGTGGAAATATTGTCTGGGGTATTTTGTTTCTGGTTGGTTCTGTTTTTGCGGGTTTTAGGCAAATTTGCCATAAAGCTGAGGATGCCATTCGTATGTGACACTTTACTTGCTGTTTACTAGAGTACTCCACAGGATTCTGATATAATAGTGTGTGCAACACTTCTCTAGTTTGTTATAAATTAAGTTGCCAAAGCAAATATGATGTTTGGAGATGAGCTTATTAACTTTTCTAAGCATGTCTCAATTTTCATCAGGTGGTCTTTCAAATGCTGAGGATGTACAGTTCAGTTTTGACTATCAACATTTCCACTATATCATTTGTTGTGTTAAGCAGCTTCAACATATGAGTGTAATTATTATGAACAGCCAATTCTCAATCTGTAACCAAGTTGAAAAAATTGTATTCTGGTATTCCTATTTCATTGTTTTAATAGTCCTTTGTCTGAATTTTAGACAAATAATTTTAGACAAATCTGCAAATAATGCATTTCTCTTAGTAAGGAAGCCATTATAAAAGGAAAGCTGTATCTGACTTCATTCTAAAAAATCTGTTGGGGATAATAGAAAATTGAAAAGAGCAGGGAGGTATGTAGAGAATTTGAGCCAACACACTTGGTACTCCCAAGCACATGTGATTTCATTGTGCATCCGATGATAGGCTTTAGGGGAAGACTTGGCAGGAAGCTTTGTTACTATTTTTTGTAGCTTAGCCTTTAATTAGGCATTTGACAGTGTCCAGTGACCATGGCCCCTTTCCTGATTATGGGGGTATTGGTGGTGGCTGCTTTTTCTATTTGCCCTGGTTGTGGTGCTTTTCTGGGTTTCATCCTGGTTGGAGCCTTTTGTGGGCTTTGTTCTCCTGACACTCTTATGGCAAGGTTTGGACCAGGATTGCAGCTACCCCTCACATCTTGCTCTTAGCTGGTGCCCTTTCTCAAGCTCTGGCATTCCTAGTAGGCCGAGGGCTGGTCCTTTGTGGATGGTTTCAGACTGCATCTTCCCATTTGATGTATTTAGGGTTTATCACAGTTTGTATGGGTAGTGGGTGTTAGGCATTTTGGTATGCAGTTACAGCGGTCTATGAGGTGTCTGTAGGAAATTTTCTCAGTGGGCCTTGTACTACTAAGCAAATTGTTGGGGTAGAAGAAGGTCTTACAACCATAGAGAATGTCTGCAACTACAGGAGAATTGGCAGGTATGTAAAAGGAAAAGATTGACCTTCGAGGCTTTGAGGATCACCCTAAATGGTGCCAAACAGATGGAGGAAGTACTAAGGAATTTTAGGAAATTACAAAGTGATGAGGAAGGGAAATTATGGTCATTAAAATGAGATCTTTCAAAAGAAGACAGAGAAGCTGAAACTGAACCTCGTAGAGACAAAACGTCTAAATGAGAGCAGGAACGAAGAAATCAATTCTTTTTTCTACAAAGTGATTGGGGTATGCAGGCCAGTAAAATGATACAAAAAGACAAACCAACAAAATAGCCAGGGAATGGGGTAGTGAATAAGGAGAGAGGGAACGTGTTCCTGAAAATTGAATGTTACCAACATAGATGGAGTGAGATCAAAGATACTGGAGATAAGTGATGTAATACAGCTGCAGACGCCAGACATTGTTGCACTCACGGAGATGAAACTTGAAGATATTTTAAAGGAGGTCATATTTTCAAGGGGCTACTCAGTTTGGAGACGGGACGAAATAATGATTGCCAATGCGTGAGAAGTTGACATAATAGCACTAGCAATCAGGATGATAAACTAATTATCATAAATGCATATAGTCCACAACCATGCAACACATGGACAAAAGAGGAGCTGGATAATAAACAAGAGGGTCTTATAACAATAATGAGAGAGATTATAGCGAGAGTGGATAAAGATATTTCACGACTGTTGGTAGTCGGTGACGTCAACTTGGTAATGATAAAGGCACAACAAAATTTATACCAAAGTAGAGATGCAGAACTAGGAAACAAGATTGGTTCAGCAGAAATTGCGAGAGGGCCAGAGGCCAAAAGACACAAAAATGAAATCGATATAGGAAGAGGCCAAACCCCCAAACATACCAACAATACAAAGATGCGAGAAAGAACTACACGGCAGTAAGGAGAGAGGCAGAAAGAAGTTTTGAAAAAGGGATAGCAGACATATGTAAAACAGAACCATGCCTATTCTATAAATTCATAAACAACAAATTGCAGGTAAAAGATAATATTCAGAGGTTGAAAATGGGAAACAGATTCACAGAAAATTAAAGGAATATGTGTGAAACATTAAATGAAAAGTTCCCAAGTGTGTTTGTACAAAATGAAATCTTCAGGGAACCAGACAAAATAAGAATTTTAGAGAACATCATAGAGCACATAGAAGTGTCTAGAGCGAAGTGAACAAAAATGCTCAATGAACTAAGAACAAAACAGTTAGCCCAGATGGAGTTTCACCATGGGTTCTGAGAGAATGTGCACCTGAGCTCAGCATTCCACTTCAGCTGATTTTTCAGACATCCCTGTGTACAGGAGTTGTAGCAGATGTGTGGAAAAAAGCTAACATAGTTCCAATCTCCAAAAGTGGCAGCAGGGAAGACCCCTTCAATTATAGACCTGTATCTTTGACAAGTGTTATAGTCAAAATATTGGAAAATCTAATAAAATCTAATTGGGTAGAACACCTGGAGAGAAATAATATAATATCATACACAGTATGGTTTACGATCTGGAAGATACCTGTGTATCGAATTTACTAAGTTTCTATGATCGAACCACAGAGATTTTACAGGAAAGAGATGGTTGGGTTGAGTGCATCTATCTGGACCTAAAAGAGGCTTTCGACAGAGTTCCACGTAAGAGGTATGCAGGAACATGTCTGTGATGCCTACATCCGCATCATGAAATGTAGGTATTTGGGGAACAAAGTTGCCGTCATTTTCCTGCAACAGATCACCTCAGATGCTTGCTGTGCCACCACCACCATCATGGGCATGTATCCTGCTTCCAACAAAATTACATTGGCTGGGAGATGAAGCGTCTTTTTTTATGCACAAGACAGGCATGAAAAGTTGAACATAAGGGCAATCTTCCCTCAATTTTCCCATCCCGTCTTCACAGAGAGCTGTTGATGCAACAGAGTTTTTCCAAGTAACACTATGTAAACTGCTATTATTAGTATCAGACTCCTGGTCACTAAACCCAAAAAATGAGCTGTGTTCTATATGTTCATAGGCTAAAGGAATATCAGGTGTCACAGCATGTGACTCGCACGTGACCTCTGCTGCCGTGGCAGTGGAGATGAAGCAAGCCTCGCCCTGGGTCAGTATCATAATCTAATTCAAAGTTTCTTACTAATTTCTTCATCTTAACTGATACTGTGGCATTAGCCACATGTTGGCGGTGTGAGGTGGAGGGATGTGCGCAACTCACTCTATTCACAGTGAAGCTTTCCTGTCAAGGAGCCCATGATTTTTTGTCATGGTGGCAAATGTTTACTTGAAGCCTGAGGAAGTGTATAGGTATCCTGTTGACTGGATGGGAGTTTTAAATCGTCCACTAGATCTAAATACTACCAAGGTTTGTGAACACACTACCAATCAAATGACCCTGACTGTGATGCACAATTGAAGGGTTAAACTATGGGGGTACTGAGAACTGCTTAGAAAGAGGTTGTAACTATACACTTAGTGCGGTGAATATTGATAGTAAAACAGCACAAGAGTGCCAAACGTCCTTCAGTGTCTACCCGGTCAAAACTTCCTTTAGTGCCTACCTGATCAAAGCTTCCTTCTGTGCTTTCCCAATGAAAGTTTCTTTCAGTACATGATCAAAGCTTGATTTTGATCATGTACTGAACAACATGTCTTTGTTGTTCTCACCATCTTCCTTGTTGCATTATACTGCTATGCTTATAGCAGCAGTATTTGACAGCATTAAAGCTTGGGGGTATTCAGAATTATATTTTTAGTGGTGGAGTCAGATGAAGCTTTATCATCATTTCCAAATGTTCATAAAGTTTTAAATTGCCTGTGACAAAAAATCTTAATTATTTTTGCAGGTACATGCAATTGGTCCTGAGGGAGGTATGGTGTCATCGACAGTGGTGCCTCAGGTCCAGGCGGTGTTCCCTCAAGGAGCTCTGACAAAGAAGATCAAAGTGGGACTCCAGGTAAACCTCTTCAAGCCACGCAAAAACCACACAGGACCCATGAAAAAGATTAGCGTCAATAATATTCCGAAGAAGAAGCGTTTTAGTCTTATTTGGTGAAGTAGTTAACAGTGGCAGAGTTTAAACAAAATTCATCACAAAATTTGCGTATTTTAACTTTCATTGAGATATTAAAATTTCTGCAGTTGCTTGTCATTGATTTGCATATACTTATAATGATCTCCAAATTTTAGTGAGTAAAGAGTCGTGTGGGCTAACAGGGATAATGCTAAAAAACTGCTAAGAATTATTTATTTGGAGTAGTACAATGTTTGTTTCAGGAGATTGTTGGCTGCAAAAGCTTCGTGTGCTTATAGCCAAACTATCTGAAATATATTATTGCTGAAAAATATGGATTAGAAATCATTATAATGCAACTCAGGAAGGTAACATATGCAGTATATACAAATGCATTTTAATAATTTTATGCCAAATTTGTAGTACTGTAGTCAATTAAGATCATAATTGAAGGGGTGGATGCTGCAAACAAAATTCATTAAAATAGGTAGAGTAATTCATTCATTAGAAACACACTGAAGACTTTTTTTTTTGAATTTGGTAAATTTAATTATTTTCAATTACCTTTTCTTATTTTTACATTTTGATTGCTTTTAAATTATTTGTATTATTTCCTGTGAATTGCTCATTACAGGACATTAAACTTGCAACATAAGTTCTAGTCAGTGTAATCTCATCATTTCTACCAAATATAATATTGTAGTCAGAAAGTAGGCAGTTAAAATATTTAACAAGAGTAATCTTTTTGTGTGCATGATTATTTATTAATATGATTACAGCTTTATATTATTTTTACTTTATTCAGTTTATGCATGATTTCAATTTGCATGATTCTGGGTTTGGTTTCTTGAGAATAATTTCATTATATTTTACTTTTTGTTACTGTATTGCTATTAATAATTTACAGATTTTCTGAGTTAATAATAATTATAATAGAAAAAGTAATCAAGGCTTAGGATAGAACATAGTGAATTAGATAAGAAAACAGTAGTGACCCAGTTTGTAGTAGGTATGTTAGATAACAAAATCACTAATAATAATCTTGGAGTATCAAGATGATAAGAAAATTGAGGGTTAAGTAGCACGTAGGCTTTGATTTGGATGAAAAATATTTTCCATTGTACAAGTTTTACACTAGGTCCCACTGACAATATCCCACAGAATTGATAGTTGTTCACATTGTGCAGAGTTCTTGGTTCACCACATTTCTCTGTTCATTAGTATGCTCACTATTTAAAAACAAATGTTCTTGTAAAAAATTTCAGTAAATTTCTGTAAAAAAGAAAAAGGAAAATGATTCCACGCTTACAAGTACATAGGTGTGTGCAAAAGTAAGTGTGGCTCACATGATTATGAACATTTCAATCACTGGTAATGGAGAGACTGGAAGTGTGTAACTCAAGCTCTGCAGTTTGTGAAAATAACTTATATCTCTTTGGTCTCTCTATGCAACAGAAAGACTGTAAGGCTAAAGACATCATGCACTGAAAGAAAGGTTGAAAATATATAGGTTTTGTTATTAAAGGTTTGACCTTACAAATTTAACTTTTCTAAGTATAACGACAAATTTAACATTATCTATAAAAAAAAGGCCTGTAAATAGGTACTAAATGTAGACACCTTCGCTCAAGTGCATGAGCTACATTTTACACTATTGACCTAGAATCACTACTCTGTTCAAACTAATAAGACGTTTATAATTATGACACAATCATTCATAGCATTACTCACAACGTAGTATTACAGCCTTCAGCCCTTACTGTAGGGAGCCTAGGTGTGATGAGACCAGTGACTATGCCTTGGATAAAACTTCGTAAAGCTGACTTCTGTAAGTTAGAGTTGCATAAGTCGGGTCGTGTTGTTGTAGTTTTAGGTTGTAGCCACTGAAACCATCACTTCAATTTACTGCCTTTTTGAGAGCAAATATTTTTATATGTAGTAGTAAAACAAATAGCATTTACTGTAGACCTTGTTCTTCCATTGTAAACCAACTGCACCCATATCAATTCAAGGTGTAATAAATGCATAATTTAAATTTAATTAATCTCAAAAATTAAGAAAGCTGTAAAAAGTTTTTGTAGAGTCTACAGTACTGAACAGTAATATGCTATATGGTAACTTGATTGTAGTGTAAGGTATAGAGGATTTGCATACATTAATGTTCAATTTTTAATGATCTCGGTACATATAAAATATTTGTAAAACTTTTTTTTTTAAATAGAATCTCAATTTCTTTTTTAAGAAGATTTGTACTTAAATTGAACTTGAAAGGTCACCACCTATTTACCTGAAGAATCAAAGCGTGAATTTGGTGATAGTCTATAGAATATAGTTACGACCTTTATTACTTCAATTATTACTTGGATGTTATAGAATGTGTCCCACCCAATGAAAATGGGAAATGGGGGATATTGATAATGAATGAATGAATGTTAGAGAATGTACAACATTGCCTTACATTATGTGTAGGTTGTCATTATCTTCCATATACCCCAACACATGTTAGAAAACAGACCAGCATTGTGGTACCCTCTTTCTCTGGCATCATCATTATTTTCAATTGATTTAGCAGCACCACAGCCTCTCGTAAGCTTTGTCAAGGTGCACTCTCTCTCCCCATGTACTGCTGTAACATTGCCTTCTTCAGTTTGATTGTATCACAGGTTAATTGATTTTAAATTTGTTTACTTATTGTTAGTCACTATACAGTATTTGAATAATAGTTTGGTTGATAGCTATTATTTTATGACATATTCATTTTATTAGTTATATTTCATTGATAAAAGAGGAAACTGAATGCAGTTGAGATTATAGGCAAATAAATTTAGATAAGTACTTGAATGAATTTGAACATGTCATTTTTTTGAAAGTAGAGGCTTGGGGCTCTTAATTGGTGGATGCAGGTAAGGAAGGTACCCACAGACAGTTGCAAATATCTCATAGCTTATACAGTAGTAGAATTTCAAGCAGCTCGGGACTCCTCATGATTAGCATGTAGCTGTTTGTGGTATTGTAACTGTGTCAAATTTTCTAAGCTCACTTGAGAAGGGATCTCCCTAAAGAATTAAGTGGTCAGTAAAGTTTTACATTAATATATTAATTTAATTTGTTTAAATTGATAAAGATCTCAGTGAGACAGTTTAGAAATCTGGCAGGTGGTTCGATGGAGACTGAGCATTTCATGTAGATCTGCTATGTCTCTGTCGAAGAGGAGGGTAATTTAATGGCTAACTTGTCTTCTTTGGCTTAGCTAACTATTGGCTTGCTACTAACTGCAGCACAAACTAACCATGTTAGCTAGTTTGTACCACAGTCTTGGAAAAAATGCCCAATAAACTTAGTTTAACGCAAGTGGCATGAAGTTTGTTTTCACCAACTCGCCTGAACATGTGTGTGACGTGCAGTTAGCAAGGTTCGATGAAACAGCATTGGATGGGTTCATCAACACTGTAGATAATAAGACTGGGGAGCTTTTGAGGAATGTAATGGTAGAATAGAAATTTTATTTCGGGTACACTGGACCTTGTAGTAACAATTTTAGCAACCACAGTTCAACTGATTTTATTGGGCTTTTGTACCACCTATTCTTCTCTTAATGCTCTGTGCTCTGTGTGTGCTTCTTGTCTTGTTTGTCTGCCAGCTGCCTTGTTCGTCCATGCTGTGTCGAGCCTCGCTCATGCTGCTGGGTTACATGTACTTCTATCAGTCAAATTTTGTTAATAGTTTCTTAAAAATATTAATTTAATTTCTTCACAATATAATTTCATTAGAATTTGCTCTTTCACAAAGCATTCAAATATATTAAATTATTAATAATTTTAATTAATACAGAAAATTGCATAGAGATTATTAACATTTTGTCATTGTTATAACAAAATTTGACTGCAGTATATTCACCTTTGGTTTGGGAAGGTATAACATTTTAGCATATTAACAGAAGTTGAAAAAAAAGTAAAGTATTACTGAAACTTTGCATTTAATGCTACATTAGGCCAACGTAGGCTGTACCATTCTCATACAGATTGAAGATGCAGCATTACACTGATAATAATTTTGACCATTGCAAATCATAATCTGTAAAAATAAAAATTTGGTAATTTGCCATTTTAAATTACATAAAATATTATTTTTTAAGTGTTTGCCATAGACTTAAAATTTGCTTAAATGTTTTTTTTTTCACTACTTGATGTCATCCATAGTATGCTGCATTTATGGATTTAGATAAAGTGTATGACTGGATTGACTATGAAGCATTGTGGGAGGTTATAACAATCTGAAGTGGAAGGGAGAGTATTAACAGGAGAATCATGTTACATTGATAACAGAGCTTGTGTAAGAGTAGTGTGAGACAGGAAAAAATGTTGGGGGTGAGCACAAATCAAGGTTGTGTAATGTCTCTTGGCTCTCCTGGCTCTTTAATATGCAAGATACATTAGGAATTTACATGCAAGAATGTCTTGAGCTGGAGTGAAGGTAGACTGTGATGTGGGAAAGATATTGTTATTTACATGTATGTATACCGATGAGTGTAAGAAGTTAATTCTTGACGAGTGAGAAGAAATTGCAGAAGATTGTGAATAAGTTTGATAGTGTATGCAAGATAAGAAATTTGAAAGTCAATGTAAGAAAAAGTAAGGTTATAGTGTTTTAAAATAAGGTAATTTGATGATGTGGATCTTCTAAGTTCTTAGAGAGTGGCAAGACAGAGTTACTTGAACCATAGGAAAACAATGGGTAAGATTACTGCCCGAAACCCTGCGCGTACTAGTGGCTTTACAAGATTGTAATTACTATACTATGTATCCTTACAATCCCAATGTACCTTCTTGTACATACATAAATAAATAAATAAATATATTTCAAGTACAGTACTGTAGTAGTCAGTTTTAAATACAATATATTTCTTAGATAAAAATGTATGAAAGGTTGGTTAAGATTGAGCA